AATATTATTTAATTAAAATTAAAAAAATCCTGTTTAAAACGGAAAGAATAAAAAATTTTAAATCAAAAAATTAAATTTTAAAACAATTTTCAAACAAAATTTAATAAAAACGAAATAAAAGAAAGTTATGAAAATTAAATAAAAAATATAAATATTATTTAGTTAATATTGAAAAAGTAAGTTTTAAATTTTAAATTAAAAAAAATTAAGGAGACAAGGTCTCCGTGCACGGAAAGTTAGAAAGAAATTAGTTTTTTTTTTAAAGCTAATATATTTTTGCATATAATAACTAACTACAATCATATATATATATATATATATATTTTAACTTAAAAAACTTGAAACAAATTTTTAGTTATAACTAACTCTTTATATTTTAGAAATATATCAAGCTAATATTTTTTTATTCAGCATAGAGTGAAGAGATAAGATTGGTGGCATGGAAAGTTGCGTATTATAGTAAATTTGAAAGTACTGTATAATAAAATAAATAATAAGATAAATGGTGTCGTTTTTGCTTACCCACTTGAAAAAAAAAATGCTACAGTGAGACAAATGGCGTCGTTTTTGCTCACCCACTTTAAAAAAAAAATGCTACAGTAAGACAAAATGGATTAACTCACTGTTCACTTTTACGGTAACTTCACATTCTCCTTTTTATATAGTAGTCCCTACATGCATGGAGAGTTAGAGAGAAAATAATTTTTTTTAACCTTTTTTTTAAAGCTAATATATTTTTACATATAATAACTAACTACAATCATAATTTTTAATTTTTTTAACTTAAAAAACTTGAAACAAATTTTTAGTATAACGTACTATTTACATTTTAGAAATACACTGAGCTAATATTTTTTTATTCAGCATGGAGTGAAGAGATAAGATTGGTGTCATGGAAAGTTGCGTGTTACAATACTGTATAATAAAATATATATTAAGACAAATGGCGCTGTTTTTGCTAACCCACTTGAAGAAAAAAATTTAAAATACTACAATGAGATAAAATGGAATTAAATTGAAATAATTAAAAGTAAAAATCAATATTATTTAATTAAAATTAAAAAATCCCGTTTACAACGAAAAGAATAAAAAAAATTTAAATCGAAAAAATAAATTTTAAAACAATTTCCAAACAAAATTTAATAAAAACAAAATAAAAGAAAGTTATGAAAATTAAATAAAAAACATATAAATATTATTTAGTTAAAATTGAAAAGGTAAGTTTTAAATTTTAAATAAAAAAAATTAAGGAGACAAGGTCTCCGTGCACGGAAAGTTAGAAAGAAATTAATTTTTAAAATTTTTTTTAATACTAATATATTTTTACATATAATAACTAACTACAATTATAATTTTTTTTTTAACTTAAAAAACTTGAAACAATTTTTTAGTTATAACTAACTTTTTATATTTTAGAAATATACTAAAGTAATATTTTTTTATACAGGACGAAGTGAAGAGATAAGATTGGTGGTATGGAAAGTTGCATGTTCCAGTAAATTTGGAGGTACTGTATAATAAAATATATACAAAGACAAATGGCGTCGTTTTTACTCATCCACTTGAAAAAAAAAATTAAAAATGCTACAGTGAGACAAAATGGATTAACTCACTGTTCACTTCTACAGTAACTTCACATTCTCCTTTTTATATAGTATTCCCTGCATGTACGGAGATTGCAAGCCTCCGTGCACGGAGAGTTAGAGAGAAAATAATTTATTTTTTTAACTTTTTTTAAAGCTAAGATATTTTTACATATAATAACTAACTACAATCATAATTTTTTTTTAACTTAAAAAACTTGAAACAATTTTTTAATTATAACTAACTATTTACATTTTAGAAATACATTGAGCTAATATTTTTTTATTCAGCACAGAATGAAGAGATAAGATTGGTGGCATGGAAAGTTGTGTGTTGCAGTACTGAATAATAAAATATATACTAAAACAAATAGCGTCGTTTTTGCTCACACACTTGGAAAAAAAAAGTTTTAATGCTACAGTAAGACAAAATAGAATTAAATTGAAATAATTAAAAGTAAAAATAAACATTATTTAATTAAAATTAAAAAACCCCTTTTAAAACGAAAAGAATAAAAAAAATTAAATCGAAAAAATAAATTTTCAAACAATTTTCAAACAAAATTTAATAAAAACGAAATAAAAGAAAGTTATGAAAATTAAATAAAAAATATATAAATATTATTTAGTTAAAATTGGAAAAGTAAGTTTTAAATCTTAATTAAAAAAAATTAAGCACGGTGGAGAGTTAGAAAGAAATTATTTTTTTAAAAACTAATATATTTTTACATATAATAACTAACTAAAATTATATATTTTTTTTCAAGTCTCCGTGCACGGAGAGTTAGAAAGAATTTTTTTTTTAAACTAATATATTTTTACATATAATAACTAACTACAATTATAATTATTTTTTTAACTTAAAAAACTTGAAACAAAATTTTAGTTATAACTATTTAAATTTTAAAAATATACTGAGCTAATATTTTTTTATTCAGCATGGAGTGGAGAGATAAGATTGATAGCATGGAAAGTTGCGTGTTGTAGTAAATTTGAAAGTATTCTATAATAAAATATATACTAAGACAAACGACGTCGTTTTTGTTCTCCACTTGAAAAAAAAATTAAAAATATTATAGTGAGACAAAATTGATTAACTCACTGTTCACTTCTACAGTAATTTCACATTCTCCTTTTTATAGTAGGGAAATAGACAGCATGAACCCTTTTTTGCCCATTCTAATCGGTGCGGACTTTTGCGCACTATGTCAAATAAGTAGGGGGTTCTCTTTCTTTCTTTTTTTTTTTTCAGTCCTTTTTTTTCCATTTTTTTCCTATTTTTTTGAATTTAACGACAGAACTAACGGAACAGGACAATGAGGGGTATTATGCACTAGTGGTTTCAAATAGGAAACATTGAGATATTTTACGCCTGCATTTACCGTTGAAAAGTTTAGATGAAAATTTTAATGTATGGCATACCAATTCAACAACTATGTAAACCTCACGGGGTGATAATTAAAATTCGAAAACTTGGGGGATAAATTGCAATTAACTGTTTTCGTTTGGAATAAAGGAAAAATTCGTCTCGGAGCCCAAATCCGACCCGCCCCCCTTGCCCCAACACACACACAAAAACACACAGCTGAGTCCATTGAAGAGATTTGGAAGGGAAGCGTTAACTTAATCGGCACAGTAATGGGATACGTAGAAGAAGCTAGAGAAAATCTCGTCAAGAAGAAAGTTGAGGAAGGTAAAATTATTTATTTATTAATTATATTTATAATCAAAATCCATCTTAAACCCTATTTCATGGTTTATTATGTTCAAATTACACGACGTTGATGCATTTCATTTGCTTCCGTGAAGTGATTTATTGGATTATCATTTCTTCTGAGCTCTTATTTCGTGATACGGCCACCAATTTTATCGAAGATAACTTTAGATATCACCCTTTTTCCCCAAAGAAAACTCGGCTTAGTGGAATGGTATTGCACACTGCTGAAAGTTTAATTTTCGTATGTATTATAGGTTTTATCTGGGTAGATTAGTGGGTGAGAATGCAACTTCATCAAACACCTAATTGACTATCTATAAAGTTTATTTTGTTGATGTTGATGTTCTTGCAAAAAATGAGACTGTATTAATGTAAAAAGTTTCTGGATAGACTAATTATATTCATATTGTAACTAGTTGTGCAATTTACCACTCCAGCAGAACTCGAACAATTTGGATTTGAGGATATTGTTAACACAGGGGATTATTGAAAATGATAATTTCAATACTGCTGGATACCTTTGATTAGGGAACAGATCCAACACTTGGTGACTTCGGGATCATGTTTCTCAGCAAAAGTTCTGGCCATGTGCATTTAAAATGTTTATGAGGCTGCAACTTTTAAGGCTCTCTATGGAATTAAAATTTTATATTGAGGAAAAGTTAAACAATGTAAGAAGGTGGAAATTAATTTCCCCTATATTTCGCACCTAAAATACATTCAAAAATTTTTGAATGTAGTCGAGTGTCAAAAATAGAGGAAATTAATATATAAAATCGTAAATTCTTCCCATAATTATATTTGTGTACTAATTTCACTCCACGTCTCTGGAACCGGACTTTGGAAAAGACAGACCAACAGCATACATAGATGACGTCGACGGTTTAGTTTAAATCGTGCTATAAAGGTCTCCTTTTGTTTTTATTTTCTACCAGATCATCTGATGTCATCATGTCGGGATTTGTAGTTATAGATAGAAACCATATATAGAATATAGAAAAGAACAACCCAATTTAACAAATTCTATTTTACATGGCAGCGTAGTTATTGTTATGTTAATCTATTTAACTATTATATGCAATCGGTCATATGTGGAGATGGCCAACCATAATGGTTTTAATATTTCTTCAAGTCTTTGTGTGACACAAATTGCTGCAATTTGGACTGTGCTTGCCCATGTTTGAAATTTACTTTATGTTTTCCTCACATTAATTATTGGTATAATTGGAAAGAACTTGCATCTCCCAAGATTAATTGGCATGCCTCTAATTGTTAATGTTCACTATGTGCTATGTTCCGCCACATTTTTAGGATTATTTTAGTTGTGACGACTGTCTTCTATCTAAGATAACCTATGTGTCCATATTTGAATAAGTTTTGATGCTATGAGAAATTTCTGTATCTTATTATGTAGCAAAGAATATATTACCAGTTTGCATAACCTTGCATGTCTATATTGTTGAATTTATTTGTAAGATGCAAATATTCATTCATAAAAAACCTCAGCTTTGCGCAGTAAAATGAAGCAGAAGGCACTAAAGGAATGTGAACATTACACGGCAAAATATGCTGAATGCGCAGCCGGAAGGACATTATCCATTGTTTGGAAATGTCGTGAACAAGCTAATCAATTAAATCAATGCCTTCATCAGTAGTAAGTTTTTTCATATGTATTTTGAAAATGTTGCTGAGTTGATATTGTGATAAAAGAATCAATTAAAATTACAAAGGATCCTCTGATTCCAATAAAGAATTTGCTAGGATCGATTTTTTCATTTTCTTTTTTTTACAAGAGAACCCAAAAAATTTATCGTAGTTTGTTGAAATTTCTGGGAGGGATAGTTCTTCAAATTTCCCAACCGCTGGTTGCTTGACAAAGATAGAAAAATAATTTTATTTCTTTATGGGATTTTTGTGGAAAAACAAAAAATAGTACTTTCATTTATCTCTCGACTTTTCAATTTCAAGGTGTTGTGAAAGAGGATTCTCAATTGAGCAAGTATTAATACCATAAGAGCAACTATGAAACTATCCTAGAGCAAATCTGGCATATATGCTCAGTTCAACTTTATACACATAAGTGCACTCATTAACATGTAGAAACAAAGCAATGACAATGCAGTTCTAGCAATCCTAGATTAATAAGTAGGCAAAAGCTCACAGGGAAGCTACTAAATGGTCAAAAGTATTCTGGATTGATTGTAGAAGACAAACATGCATCTATAGCTGAATGCGATGACATGTTGGTAGTTTATTATATCGGGATGAAATGCTAGTGTTATCCAATTAATTTCCACACGCAGCCCCACCCACCCATCCTCATTCCTGCAGGAAACACACACACACATATATGTCTGTATGTATGTGTGTGTGTGTGTGTGTGTGTGAAAGAAGAGAAAAAGGAAAAACAAACCAAAAAATGGTTGCTTGGACAGCTTCCCTATGAAGATTGTAATTCATATATAGTGAAATTGTTGCATACATGCTATTTTCAAAAAAATATTAGAGCATTTCCAAGAAACTCTTTATTTATAAAGAGCGTCTTATGTATTATAGAGTCAAAATTTTTATACACTTAAACAAGCTCCTTTTTTTTTTTTTTTTTTGGCTCTTAATTTTAATTTTCTCAAGAAATATTTATTGATTTCTTTTCATATTTTATTTAACATAATTTTTTATATGTCAATTGATCAGTCAATTTAAATGTGGTTTGAATAGTCTAAGAAGTAGAGTATTGAAATATTGGATTTATTAAAACAATCATTGCACATTAAGAATGGAGAGTGAGTTTAGCTCTCTAAATTTGGAGTGCCTAACACCACTCTCTATTTTAAGAAATTAAAATAGAGTCTCTTGAAGCTCATTTTTAAATATTGACTCTTTAAAATAAAGAGCATTCTGTATTTAGAGAATCTTGGAGATGCTCTTACGGTTTACAGTTTATTTTCTAATACTCTTGATCTTTCAATTACTAATAAATAGAAAACCTATTAATTTAGTTTCAATATCGCAAGACATGACATCTGGAAGATGAAAACTAGATAATTAATCGTTTTAACATTTGGAATTTGTTTCAACGATGACATTTTTCTTAGTGCAACTTTATTAGATTCCAAATGGTTGAGCTTTCCATGGCTAGTGTGATTGTTTTGATCCAAATTCAAAATTTCACTTTTTAACTGTCTAACATTGTCATTCTTTTTCTTTTTTTTTTGGTAGCACGAACGACTCTGTCTTGGAAAAAATGAAGAAAGAATACATGCTTCAGCAGGATGGGAAGGGATCTCTAAGAATTTGATTTGAGATCTTAATTATCGTCAATTACATCCGTTGGAAAAATGTGTAGAAAGTTGGGGGCAGAATTTGCAGATGAATATGATTTCTTTTTTGGCTTAATGTTCTAGTCAGTGAATCTGATTTGTTCTTGTATATGCATCATCTTGAGACGGGATGATTGGCATATCATCCTTTGTGGTCTAGACATGACTTCTCCTTTATTTTTTCAGTGTTGCTCCACTTTGAAGGAATCTTCCTGTTACAGATTAAAGTGGATTTTCCATTTTAGTGCAAAATAGCACACCTCTTAAGTGACTGATTAACCAGTTATGTAGTTTTTGGTATTAACTCCAAGAGCTTCTGCATCCATGGAGATCACTGTGTAACAAAACTAACTATGATCACGTAAAAGGAAAGTTGCAGTGTAAACAACTGACACACACTAGAATGAAGTTGGATCCACAGCAATATGAATATACATTATCCTTTCGTAAGCTTTTTTAATTTGAGCTTTGAAGCGAACTAAAGTCCAAAAGAAGACCTTACTTAGTCTTTTTTGGGCTTTTAAGCAAAGCCAAACATGATCAAAACAGGTAACTCTACGCAGAATTCAAGACGTCCACTGAATTCCAAGTTTTTCATTTTTGCGTCTACATCATGTGTTTATAATTTATTGGAATAAAACGCTTATAACCTGGCAACTAGCCTCTTATTACCCTCGGCGATGAAGGTCCGAGGTCGAGGTTCATAGACTAAGTCGCCTCAAGATCCTTTTAAAACGTAAATTACTTTGATTTTCTTGCTCAAATGAGTGTTCCACACCAACCTCTACGCATGGCTTTTGGCTTTCATGTCCTGCTGAAAACCAAACCGAGAATTAGCAAATAGAAGAATTAATCCTTAAAACATATTGCAATCATAATATACGACAAATTAAGATCATGCAAAAAGTGCAGTTTATTTAGCAAAAACAAGAATCATATAATACATCATAAGTTCCCTGAGAAACTTTTTTGATTAATATAAGAATACCTGCAGAGGTTGAACATGAATTCATGGTTCTTCTCCTCCTTCCTTTCTGAGAGATCATGCTGTGAGGAAAGTGTAAGGACTGCTTATCGTCAGTGCTTAAAAGTAAAATGGGAGACATTAAATTCCTAGTTTTGTAAATTAGGCTTATGTTTGGCCTTTCTTATAGATTAGTCGATGAAATCCTGGCCACATGTTTTGTCATCCCAGCTTTTATAATATGGTCAGTAGTACTACTCAGTACAGCGTGGTATTTCCGAAGACTGGACCACAACTTAAAGTCTGTCGGCATCTTATCAAAAACCCGGGAAAGGGTTCGTATGGAATTGGTCAGCTTGAAGACGGATGTATTCGTTCCTTCAACATTACTAGATATTTACAGGTCTGACTATTTGAGTTATTTGAAATTGAGAATGTTCGATGCATTTCGTTTTCCCTTCATTTTCTAATATTCAGGTCTTTTATACTTATTTTTAATATATATATGTGTGTGTGGAATTCACAATTTTTTTTTATCAACTTTTCCACTATATATTTTTATTGGATTTTATCAGAATTCGCTAAAAATCTGAATTTTAGCTAAATCAAACAGATATTAGTGGTGAAGACAGAGCCTTGGCCCATAATATATTTTAGTATATGTTTGGCAAGTGTTTATATAGTAGTTGTGAGCCCCACAAAATATGTGGATAAAAAAGTTAGGTGACTTTTAACAAGTACTAGCCAAACATTAAAGTATCTCTATTGCAATTGTAAAAAAAAGGGTTGAACTCCAACTTTGAGGGTTTCCACCGTCCCGCTCCAAGAGTTTTGTGAGGGAGGTAAATGGCGGGATGTGCCCCATCAGGTTAGGGAACAAGAGCTGCATGTACACTGTGCTTACAAGGAGTCCAATTTCATGTCTCAAGAATCGAACCCCCATATTACGACTGTCAGTAAGGCGTGAGGTAACCTCACTCCTATCCTTTACACCACTGAACTATGTCCCGATGGCTTCTCTATTGCAATTGTAGATTGCTTGAAAAGTTGTGTCACATGAGCAAATAGACAAATGTTCAAAAAAATTCATATTCAATTCAAGTTTAGAGAGAGAGAGAGAGACTAGAGCTCCGTCTCAAATCAAAAGTTGTGTAAAAGGAATGACTCAGCAAAATTTTATATTTTCTTTTCAATAATTATGATTTTTTATCCAAATTTACATATGATTTTGTTTTTTATTTTAAGAATATAGAAGATAGCTAATGAAAAATTCAATTTTGAACTTGAATATCAATTCATTAGATATTAATGTCACTTAAACTTAAATGTCTTTCCAGTTTCATGCCACACAATTAGCTATTAGCAAATTACAGATTGCATTGGAAATGCGATAATCAATGGTTTGGACGGTAAGCTTGTAGGTATTAGAAGGTGTTATGAAAGAGTAATGATATTCATCTCAAGTTCAGATTATCATCCATTTATGTGACATTGGAGTCACCTACACAATGTCCAATGCCATCGTTTGGATTTTTTTTTTCTTTTTTGAAGAACTAAATGGTAATTCTGGTGGACATAATTCTTCTAACATATATGCATGCCAAAAATATGCTAATTTTATTTTATTTATTATTATTATTATTTAAGAATATAGAAGATAGCTAAAGAAAAATTCAATTTTGAACTCGAATATCAATTGATTAGCTATTAGCAAATTACAAAATGCATTGGAAAGAGTAATGATATTCATCTCAAGTTCAGATTAACATCTATTTATGCGACAGTGGAGTCACCGTCACAATGTCCAATGCCGTCTTTTGGATATTTTTCTTTTTTGAAGAACTAAATGGTAATTCTGGTGGACATAATTCTTCTAACATATATGCATGCCAAAAATTTGCTAATTTACACATGATTTTGTTTTACTTCAAGAATATAGAAGATAGCTGAAGAAAATTCAATTTTGAACTTGAATATCAATTCATTAGATATTTAATGTCACTTAAATTTTGTCTTTAAAGTTTCATGCCACACAATTAGCTATTAGCAAATTACAGAATGCATTGGAAATGTGATAATCAATGGTTTGGATGGTAAGCTTGCAAGTACTGGAAGGTGTTATGAAAGAGTAATGATATTCATCTCAAGTTCAGATTATCATCCATTTATGTGACATTGGAGTCACCTACACAATGTCCAATGCCATCTTTTGGATTTTTTTTTTCTTTTTTGAAGAACTAAATGGTAATTCTGGTGGACATAATTCTTCTAACATATATACATGCCAAGGATATGCTAAAATTTACATATGGTTTTGTTTTTACTTAAAGAATATAGAAGATAGCTAAAGAAAAATTCAATTTTGAACTTGAATATCAATTCATTAGATATTAATGTCACTTAAACTTAAGTGCCTTTCAAGTTTCATGCCATACAATTAGCTATTAGCAAATTACAAAAAGCATTGGAAATGCGAAAATCAATGGTTTGGACGGTAAGCTTGTAGGTACTGGAAGGTGTTATGAAAGAGTAACGATATTCATCTCAGTTCAGATTATCATCCGTTTATGTGACAATGGAATCACCGTCACGATGTCCTATGCCATCTTTCGGATATAATTATTCTGACATATATGCATGTTATTTGTGGGTCTAATTCTGATAAAGCCAAAAAAGAAGCACGTGAAGGCACGGACCAAGTAGCTAGATTTTTTGATTGTTGTGGGACCTCATTAGAGTCATTCCAAAAAATCGAGGAAAGAGCAGATAATATTCAGTTCACTTTTGACTCACCAAAGATATCAAATCCAGAAATTCCACATTGACTGAAAACCGGAGGAAACCGGTCATTGTAATTTCCCCAATGAAGAGAAAAATGGATTGGTCAATATTACTTGAATCTAATATGTAATATTGTTATTTTTCTGTATACATAAGATTTTTCTTATGCATTATTTGTTGCACAAATATCGGACATTGTTTAATCCGTAAATGTGAAGAAAAGTGTTGATTTTTCATTGTATCTCTAAAACTAAAACCCTTCAAATATTGCTTGCTAATAATTCTTAGACGAGTTGAAGATTGCACTGACTTATAGTAACTTAGATGTGCTAGTGTGTTAAAAGAGAGAGTGTGCGTGTGTACAAAAAGTTCTCACCTTTCACTGTTTTGTGCAAACGTCCATATGTTTCATGTTTTGGCAATTTAACGCCTATTTTCACCTTTAATTGCCAAAAATGTCATTCCATCTACTTACCGTTGGTTGCTCCGTTAACATGAAAGGCCAATTTTCTTTTCAAATACTAAGGGTAATATAGCCTTAGCCAATTACCCTTCTTTTAGCATAATTAGAAGGCCTTTAACTTGATCGATATCTGTAGGTGGAAATAGAAGCTTTAAAAAGTGACTGTGCTAATGCACAACTGGAATGCAATGCGGCTGATGGACGAGCAAAGCTATTGGCCTCTGACGCCATTGGTTTGGAAGATAAGGTGTTTTATTTTTTATTTTTGTTAAAAAGTGAGCTGGTTCGGCTCGGCTTGATAAGGCCCGAGTCGAAGCCCAAATCATTTTTGCTCGAGACGAGTTCAAACCTCAAGTTTGACTCATGAGCTAGCTCGGCTTGACTTATTGACATCCCTACGCTACTGTAATTTTAGGATATTTTTTTGTTGGAGTGGACATACATGTGATTTAGTGAATATTCTTCAACTTTAATTTAAATTATGACTTTGAACTGAGTGATAGATTATCCTAATTCTTTAGTGGAATTGAGTAAACAGTTGCATAAGCTGTGAAGTCATTTTTCCTTTGTCTGGAAATAATTTTATGTCCATTGGCCATCGTGCTTTGTCTATTGTTCTTGGACTGCGTTATTTTTTTTGGTATCCAGAGGAAAGAAAAATATGGTTTTTGAAATTGATATATATGCGGAGTTTTGTTGAGATTTTGGTGAATTGTTGAAGATGAAATTGTTTGAATTGCTGTCTGAATTGTTGTATGAGTTGCTGTGTTCGAAATGGGCGTTTAGGGAGTCTAAGGTGCTGTGGATAAGTAGGTTGCACACAAAAGAAAACATGGATCTAATTTGCCAAACTCAAAACCTCGGACTTTGCTTGTTTGCCAGGCTGAGGCTCACAGGCCCCTTATTGGGCCTATCACAAATAGGGTGGGTGGGTGATTTTTGGAGGAATTAGTGCAACAGCCGGTTGACCCGGCCAGTTTTCCAAAGAGGCCTTTGACCGGTTAAAAAAAAAAAGGCAAAATTATTTAAAACAGTGAAAACCAACAAAAATCAAGAGAAACTCAATTTTACTCCTCAGGACTTGCAAGGAAAAAGAAGCAGAAGGCGAGTGGAAAAGTACTGTAGCACAATCGACCCAGTCACTGACAAATAAGGAAAAACAGGAGACCCAGTTGGCCATTTATCTCTGAAGAAGGTAAGATTTTTATACAAAAAAAAATAAAAAATAATCATGTTTTTATTTTTATTTTTGGAAAAAAGTATGATTTTATATATATGTGTTGAGAAATCCTTGTGTAAATGTGGAATTTGGGTTCTTATTGCTTGGGAAGGAGTGGAGATCGCCGGAAATGGAGTTTTCCGACGATCTCCATGGCCGGAAATGGAAGTCCAGCGCCGGTCGGCCCGGTTGACCCAGTTGACTAGGCCGGCCGTTATTTTGGGCCGTGGGCTTCATTGAAATAGTTTGTTCAAAAGTTTTGATAACATAATTTTGAGTAAAATCAAATTTTCCTATTTCATAGATAGAATGTTTGTCTATCTTTGGAATAGTCCAATTTTGAAGTTGTTGTTCGATTTTTGCAATTTGAAGTTCATTTGAATTGAAATCATTTGATACAGATGCAGATGAATTTGATGCATTGTCAACTTCTTCTTCATTTTGAAAAACATTTGAACTATTTTCATTTTGATTTTGTGATCTATTTCTAGACCTAGATCTCCTAAACCAATTAGAAACCGAAGACATAATTGAAAATAATGAAATCAAAATAAAATTACACAATAAAAACAGCAAAATAGGATAAATAGGATTCTTACCAAGCCTACAAACGGGACCACCTACACGGCCGACCAACGTTTACAGGGCTGACCAACGTCTATTCAACAAACATCCAGGTTTAAACCAGACTCACCTATTTTGAACAGTGTCTAT